AAATGCCAAGCAAGCAGGGCCTGACTGGAGAGTGCATTAGTACAGTTCTGGACCTCTGACACGGGCGGTAGATACTCGCATTTCGCGAGCGGTGGTCAGGTCGGGACCATAGTCAAGCATTAGCGATGCCCAAGGGGACGGCAGACAGAAGCGGGAGAAGCAGTCTGTTCGGATGGACTCGAGACCACAGGACTGCTTATATGTGACCTGTTTCATGGCGCGCGGAGATATGGACTCCAGTCTTTTCGCCACCGAAACGATGTTCATCATCGGCGGACACCCACCGCCCACCAAGCGCGACCCTGCTGCACGGGCGATCATGGCCCCGTTTGCAGCACATGACTGCGAGGTTCAATGAGACGAGAGCGCTGGGGCTGCGCTAGCTCCGTTGTGCACGGAGCGACCGACTCGGGGGCAACGAGCGTGGCAGAGCGCAATCAATTAGTGGCCGTATACGCGCGTGGTATACGGGATGATCAATACGCGGTGCGATCGTTATAACCGACAGCTTCAAGTTGGTCGGCGTCGCGTGCACTAGCCGGCCGCATACACAAATCTCAGAAGAGATTCCTGGCGAGGGGCCTTAGCCGGGGCTCTGTGGAGGTATATGGCTGTGTATACTAGACACTCACTTAATCGGCTCGTGAGATGTCCGGTAACCTAACCTCGAGCCTCTTATTGGCCGGCATCTTCAAGGTATCTGAGAATCATGGCGCACGTCACCGCGGCAAGGCGAACACATTCAATCAGTGGATGTCGCTACCTGGGTACACAGGTAGCTGCAGGCTACACACATTCTGGTGGAGCACTTGAAGCTCAAAGCTCGGAGGTGGAGCTGGAGTCCTGCACTTCCCCAACAATTACACCCGATATCACTGCCCGCCCAGATAGAGCCGTTACTATTTCAGGCACGTGTCCTGTCACGGCCGTGTTTTACACTACAAGCTCGTTTCCGGACTTCGCTTTTGGCAGAGGTAGAGTATCCGCCATCTCGTGCATCTCTACCGTGATGCTGACCTAGAAAGAGCAGCCGGTCAATGTTGATACACTCGAAAACTGGGGCATGGCAGCGCAGAAACTCACTTGCGGTCTGACTGATCTGGAGCTCACAAAATTCGACTGGAGAAAAGCATGACCTTTCAGATTGTATGCGTAGAGGCTACTGAACTCTTTCTGTACCTCTTTTGCGTCGATGAAGCTAGTATCACCTGAAGGCAAGTGGGAATTTGCCTGACGAGAATTAAGACTCGACATAACCGAGTTCGTGTATCTTCAGTGAGGTCAGTCCTGTAAAATCAGTGTTCCTCAAAACTGTGCACTCACAACTTGACAACGCCGTAGTTGAAGATCATATGGATACCCGTGGACTGCGAAAATATTAGAGAGAATCACTTTGAGTGATAGAGTGGACCCACTGAAGTCAAATATGCCACAATGTGTGCTATGGTGAAAGACGCGGTCAAGAGTCCGCTCTGCACGGTCGCTACATTTAACGTCAACGATCAGTCAACATAATAATCAGCGAACGTACACCGTATGATCTTATTGATAATGTTATCAGTGATCTCGAATCCAGTCTTGCGCGAGTTCTGTAATCCCGCCAGGTACAGTTAAGCCGACGTTCAGCGCATGGCAAAGTGCGTCTTACCAGGTACACACTAAGTGCCACGGCAATTGTGACATCGCAGACGGTGCACGAGATGAGCCAAGGGAGTCCAATGACCTGCACGACGCCCCATTAGCATGTGACGAAAACACAGCCAAGATAACTAACATCAAGAGACTTGAAACCCGAAAACTCTGGGCGAATCCCGATGCCAATTGCCGTCCCGATGGCAGATACTGCAAGAATGTCAGATAAGATCGATATCGAGCCAATAGAGCACTTACAGCCAGAGACGGTGGAGCTTACTACAACGAGTGCGACGATCCACCGATTCTTGGTCAGCGCCAGGATGCGCCACGCGTAGAAGAGCTGGACCATCATCGCGATGAGTCCCTAGCCGCCAGTGAGACGCCTGTCAGAAAAACAACCCGAAAACGCGCGAACTTACCGCCATGGCCTCTTCTAAGCGGCCGCCAGGGTCTCCATTGACAGCGCTCACAATTTTATCGAAGCACAGGGTACTTACCTGACTCGAAGACTGCAAAAACAGCGGAACAATCAGTGCACATGGAGCAAAGGGCGAGGCTTTTGCTTACGCCAGTCTGCTTGCGTAAGAGCAGCGAGGTTGCCTGGGAAACAATTTCCAGCACAGGTGAAGGAGGGTGGGCGGGACCCTCACCAAAGTTGTTAACCAGGACGGTATAGATCCAGGCAATGTTGAATGCGCTGTTCAATGTGTCTGCAAGGAGCAAGACTGCGACCTTGAATATTATAATATGCTCAGAGCCGAACACGCCAGATTCCGTATTACTCACATAGGCCTTGATCCACAACGGATCGCTGAAGAAATCATATGAGTCTTTGAAGTCTCGAAAGCAGTCGAGAAATGAACCTACCTTCGGAAGCTCGCGTAGTAGGTGTGCGCCTGCGCAATAACGACGCCATATAGTCTATGAAAGATGATGGTGAACAGAGAGGACTCTGTTAGACAGCTTGTTTCGAGCTCACAAGATATTCAGGAAGATGCCAACGAGACTCGGCCCATGCCTGAGCAACCCCGTCAGCGTCAGAAGTCTTCGCAGAGTGTGAACGGTTGTACTCACAAGATCTGCGCTGCTTGCCCTCCCGCCGATACCATTTGTCGTTAAGCTATGAAGTTATGAAGGAGAGTAGGGCAAGTAGTAGTCTACAAGAAAAATGTTCTGCGCGGCACCCATGGCCGCGCGGAGGTTATGATCTTCAGCTGACCTAACATCGAATTCAGTCCTTGCGCTGAGGCTCGAAGACAGCACCGGACTCAATCTCCCCGCGGACAAGTCTGGAGCTGCCTGATTCTTTTTCTCTTTTCTCTTTTTCTTTTTTGTTCCCGCTGAAGTGGCTATAATTGGTCCTCATGGGATCCTTCGCCGAATACCCGCTCTAGCACCGAGAGGCACTTCCCTGCAGCCAGGGCAAGCATACATAAATTCAGGCCTCATCGGGACCTCGAGCATGAGCGCTCGAGAGGAATCTCGATGAAAATACCAGTGTTCGCGACGCTGCGTTTTATGATGCCGTAAAGCTTTGAAATGCTACGGGAATCATCAATCGGAGCTACGCACTTGCCAAGAGAGTCGCTTACCTGTGATTTTTTTTGTTTGTTTGTATTCCTAGTGGGATGAGGTTTCGGCTGCCCCATTCTAGCTTAAAGCTTCACTGTATGAGTGTTCTCTTCTGCTTTAGGGAGCCGTGTACTTTAGCCGCTCAAAAATCCTTAACATGTGATTATTGATCGCTATTCAGCCTAAACCCACCCATAAGTAGCAAGTCCCGTTGCCGTATACCCGTGTCGCAATATATTTCGAATTTCCGCGTATTGCTGAGACTTGTTTGCGAACCACCATGTCGGCCGCAAGCCCTACGCCGTTCCAAATATCGATTCCTCAGGATGCTCTCGATGCGGTGAGGCAGAAGCTGACGAACGCTACTCTGCCTCCTCCACCTCCTCAGAGCGACGACCCCTGGAAGTACGGCGTTCCGAACGCAGACCTCGAGCGTATCCTCGAGCACTGGAAGACGACCTACGACTGGAGAAGGGAGGAAGCAGCTCTCAATGCTGACCTCCCTCAGTTCACGCTCCCTGTCAACGTGCAAGAACATGGCCTGTTCCGGGCTCACTTCGTACACCAGCGCGCAAAGCGCCCAGGAAAGGCCATTCCCCTCCTGTTTGTGCACGGCTGGCCAGGGCATTTCGCCGAAGTGCGAAAGATTCTGCCTTTGCTGACGAATCCCGAAAGCGAGGACGACCCCGCGTTCGACGTGGTCGCGCCAAGCCTTCCTGGCTTCGGCTTCACTAGCGCGCCTGAGAAGAGCGGGTTCGCGATTAGTCAGTATGCTGAGGCAAGTTTAGTCTCGTCAGCGAGAAGCGTTGTTACTGACGCCGGAATTGTCTCAGTTCTGTCACAACCTGATGCTCGCGCTCGGGTACAATGAATACGGCACGTACTGCTCAAATCTCTCTTGAGTTGTACTCTGACGCAGGTGCATATCAGTCGTGCAGGGCGGTGACTGGGGCTTCTTCGTGAGTATCTTGTCTCATGAGTTGACGTCGATGGCCTGCTCAGAGTCTCGTCATCTTGCCACTTGCTCTAGATCTGCCATCGTCTGGTACATTTGTACGGGCCAAAGCATGTTAAGGCATGGCACACTAACTTCCCCGGGTATGTTTTCCCACATGTTTGACTCACTGACCCTGATGAAATGAACCTCGTGCGCTGACCTTTCGGACGGCAGGGCTGGTCCGCCCTCCGCGACGGCTTGGCCTCGTCTCTTCTTCGCACACCTCGTCACACCATACAGCGAAGAGGAGAAGAAGGGTCTCCAACGAACAATGTGGTTCAGGCAAATCGGTACGGCAAGCGCGACTCTCAACTTTTTTGATCGTACTAACGCGCCTCCTACCCTCCCCCCAGGTCAAGGCTACTTCCAAGAGCAATCCACGAAGCCTCAGACACTCGCTTACTCCCTGGCGGACTCACCAGTCGGTCTCCTCGCGTGGATATACGAAAAATTAGTTACCTGGACCGACAATTATCCTTGGACCGAGGACGAAGGTTTGCTTCCGCGAGCTCTCAGATTACAGCGCTCTTGACAGTTCTATCCCAGTCTTAACGTGGATCCATATCTACGCCTTCTCTCAGGCTCAGTCAACGTCGTCTGCTGCGACCTCTATCCGCATCTATTACGAGGCCCTTCACGCACAGGATTTTAAAACGCTTGCTGATCCCACGTATTACAATGATAAAGTACCCCTTGGGATTAGCATCTTCCCGCAGGAGCTCGTCCTAGTTCCCCAAACGTAAGTCCACTTGCGAGTCTGGACCCTCCAGCGTTCAATGACGTGAGTTGTTCTAGGTGGCATCATACGCTTGGTCCTATTGTGTACTCCGCGAGGCATCAAAGCGGTGGACACTTCGCTGCGTTCGAGCGCCCGAATGAGCTCGTTGCCGATATCAGGAAGACGTTTAAGTCACCTGAGGTCAGGGCGAAGCTGTAAAAAGCCTTCGTCATTGGATGGGTGAGCAGTGTACCAAGTTTACATTGTAAGCGCCGCCTGTCATATTTCTGCTGTCTGGCATTATAGGACGTCAGCTCGAACGAACTAACTAGTGTATGATAGGAAGCTTGGAATTTTGGATCTTTGTACTTGTAACGAGGCTACCTTGGATGGCGACAAAATGTGAAACCGTTTCCACGCACGCCTTTCACCTGATGGCTTACGGCTTCATTCCCTATTACTTGCCTCCATCTGATATCTAGAATCCTCCGAACTTTCCGTCGGGCATCGATGCCATCATCCAGCGCACAGGTTCTCCCCACCGCATGATTGCTTTTGATGCGCCCGTATGGTAGGACGCTGTCGCCGCCGCTCAGGTACTAACGATACCTGCACCCATCATGGCCGATTGTGAATGACCTCATCTGACAGCATCTACAGATATAAGAAAGAGAGCAGACCCTTCACTTCACTCGTCGACTATCCGCTTGTCTGCGCCAGTATTTCAATTTCTGGCATTACCAAGCTCCCCGAAATTCTCCACGATATAATCGGTCTTGTCGTCCGCCTTTCCCAAGTTCCTTGAGGGTGGGATGGGACGCAAGCTGCATGCGCTCGTGCGCCCAACATTGAGGCGCTCGACATCTCGGTGCATCTGTGTCCATCCGAAAGCATCGCTAGGCTGTGGCGAGCCCTACCGAAAATGAACCAAAGATACCGTAGGTTCACATGATACATCGCTTCAGCAACGAGGAGGTGAAGGCTGAGATGGTGCTCAGTTGGAAATCGTTGGTAACTTTGTTCACCTGAGCCAATATGCTCATGATACACGCTGAGATTGTCGCGGGCAGAGATACACTACCCGAGCGGCACAGCGATGATTATGCAGGCATGCCACTGCGGCGAGCTCCTCTTCCCAAAGTAGTTGCGCAGGTTATCGAGGCTCATTCAATTAGATGGTGCTCTAGAGAGCTGATACGCGTTCGAGAAACGATGGGTCTGTTTCGTGGTACCCTCGCGCTAGCCCTTATTATTCAGAGCAGCGAAAGGTTGCTTCAGCACGTGGAGTAATTCTTCGTCATCGATCTCGATCCCTATATGCCAGCCGTAAGTCGCATGCGGAACAGCTCAAGGAGAGCACAGACCCCGTAAGATATCGGCCAGTATCCAGCCTTCCAATCCGTTGAAGCCGCCCTCCTGCTTCACGAACGTCCATCGATTTTGTAACCAGAGCAGCATTTCCTCGTAAGTTTCCTCGACACGCATTCGGACGTACGGGCCCGCATCAGGGTATCTTAACATTGATTGTTTGAATATCTGGCAGACATCATATCGCAGAGCTCCCCAAGAGTTGTTTGCTACACACCTGGTAAAGCATCGCGGCATTCGAGTCGTTCATCCCGCGCTGGATGGCATTCACGATCCACTCTAACTTCTCGTCTCGTTCTACATTGTCGTCTTCCGGCTCCATAATCTCGAGCCACTCCCTCTGCCGAAAACATTCAGCTGATTGACCACACAGGACCTTATCAATGGCGTCGCTAGCGGCAAGCAGCATTTCCCGTGAGACGGTCGCCCAAGGCTCTTTGACTCCCTCGAGCTTCTTCATGCCGGCCTGCGAGGCGTACAACAGTGGAAACACGTTAGAAGGTATCATACGCTTCGCAAGCCCCTTCAGGATGGTGCGGCGTGTCTTCGACGATAAGTGCGCAAATGCTGGAGTGCACCATCCTTCACCGAAATGGGCTGTAAGGGCGCGGCGGGCTCCACGATCGAGATATACGCTCTTCACGTCGTCCTTACGAGCGAATTCGAGTACGCGAGGCGCGCGCCATGCGCACTGGGGACACTTGCATCCTCCTGCGCCCCACACGCCGCCGGTAATCTTCTCGTGTTCGTCAAAGGGAAGGAAGGCATGGAAAAGCCCGTGCATCATTTCCTCGACGATGCGCGCCTGAATCACGTCGTAGAGTGCGTCAAGACGGAGATACATCGCGCATCGCATGATGCTGAATGCGGCGGCGAGGTCCCACTGTTCAAGTTCAAGTTGGTCTGACTCAAAGCGAACTCGCCAGTGTAGATCCATCTAAGGGTGGAATACAGAAAGAGCGGCGTGAAGGGAGGTGATGGTAGGGTGAGCGTGGGCTCTCCGGGTACCTGCTCAGTCTGCCGGAGCTGCTCGTAGAAGTAGGGTGATCGAGACGCCAGAACGAAGCGATGTGAGTGGATAACAGCCACCTTGGATTCCTGTTCCGAAGTGACGGCATCATCAGTAATCGTTGTAGTGATGCGGACATCGGAGTTGAGACGGGTGCGCCACATAGAGAGGAGGTCTTTGCGTAGTTCGTTCTTCGAGTCCTCTTCGATATCCATGCTCTCGTGGTCTTCGTAGTGAGACAGGCCCCCCGAGCTACGGCCAGTATAAAAGAGCTCAAAGTCGTCCGAGAAGGAAGCTCGAGCGCCTGTGAAACCAATCTGCGCAGGAGAGGCACTCGACGATAGGAATGACCCCGTCGGAAAATACTTCTCTCGAAGGGCTGGTGACGCGCGAGAATATACGACCGCTGTGAGATGAGAATGGTCAGTATGTATGCGATAGTAAAGATCAGATTGCAATGTTTTAACAACTGCACAATGGAACTCAAAAAAGTATGCACCAGCTAGGGTTTTGTACAGCGCGACGAGGAAAAGGGGATAGACGAAGAGTGCGGATGCATACCATAATGCCCCCAAATCTCCGTCTTGGAACCGCGTCCGAGTTCTTCTCCACCATCAACTCGCCATAGGACGTCAGGATAGTAGTCCTTTGCTCGTTGGAATAAAGTGTGAAGGTCTTGTAACCAAACCTCAGTCGAACGGGCTATAGCGGCCTTTACTGAGAGGCTACCATCCTCAAGCGTTATATTGCTCGCTGCCTTGACAACAGCGTCTAGTTTCTGCGATGTATCAAGTGTTGATATGGAAGACGGAGGAGGGCTACTGGCGATGTATGTAGTGGGATTATTTGATGGAGGCGGCAATGCCTTGTTGGGCACGATGACATCGGAGGGAGTAGGCGTCAATTCAGAAGACGTCTGAGCGTCGGCAGAGATGTTGGCGTCGGATCTAGAAGGTGATTGTTGACCAAGTTGACCGGCAAGATTGACAGCTTCGAGCTGGCGGAGTACTGTAAGAGCGTCAGCACGTCGGGGTGGCTCGAGGCGCCAGCACGCCAGCATGATTTCCCACAGTGCGTCTGGAATCTCTCTGCCAGATAGAGAACGTTGTTGACTTTTGCCGTCGAGGATGGCAAACATCGCCTGGTAATTGGTCAGGTCTGGAAAGGGTATTTTTCCGGTATATATCTAGCAGCGATCGGCTTCAGATCAGATTACGATCAAGTCAGTATGCTATCGCATGCCTACCTGCCATGTTACCTGCCCGAACGAATACATGTCACTGGCAGGAGTATGCTGAACGCGCGGAAGCAGGAAGCGGACCGGGTCGAATATCTCGGGGGCCATACAACGTGTTGCGCCGGGCTGGGCTGAGCTGCAACTTAATGCAGAGTCTGAGAAATTCGAGAGCCCAAAATCAACGAGCTGTACATCTCTTGCTGCATCCACGAGAATATTTCCCTGAAGGAGAAATTCTTCAGTTAGAGTCTACTACCAACGTCCTAGACGTTCTGACGTACGACGTGTAAATCTCCATGGACGACGCTCTTCCTATGCAAGTATGCCAGCCCTGACACCACTTGACAGATCTGGAAAGACCATGAATAACAGTCTGCTGTATATTCTGGAGGAGGGACTGACCAACCGAATGGCATCCTGAGCGAACCAACCGACTTTCGCTATATATTGTAGGGCGTTGCCATAACTCATCCAGGGTAGTACCACGCAGGTAAGGCCCGTGAAGGATTCTCGATCGACGCCTATTATCTGACAGACGTGTCTGTGAACTATGCCCCGAACGAGTGCGATCTCTCTGTGAAACGCCTGCGAGAGGCGTGATTAGCAGCGTTCCACTTTAGCTATATGAATTCTGGAGCACCTTCTTATTTCTCATGTCTTCTTCACGGTTCCGAAAGATGCGCAGTGACTTCAAGGCCACTAACTTCCCGCCGTACTCGCCCTTGTAAATCTCTCCGTATGACCCGCCGTCTACAGGCTGGTGATCTCTTACGTATACACCCGACAACCACATCTGTGCGGGAGCTGCAGAGATGATTCGCATAGCCGCACAAATGCACGCTGCATTGAACGGTTCTAGCTCTACATCGTATTCCCGGAGAGACCTGCTTTGAATGGAAGG